ATTCTTCATCATCCATCGAGTTTCACCTAATAACACATTATATTATAAATTAGGCTATAATCCCATTAAAAGAACCACAAAATGTCATAATTTGGAGCCCGAATAAGTGTATAAAATACACTTATCAACTTGTAACTGAAGATGATGGATTTGAGTGATGAGATTCATCTATAAGTTGAGTATCTTGGCTGTCTGATCAAGTATGTGCATGGTGTGGCTTAACACATAGTAAGATTTTATTTGAGGGTCCATGGTCGACATGAGTGCCTCGAAAATTTTATCCCCAATGAAAGGTGTTTTCAAAAAAATTTCTCCAAGTGCCTTCCTTGTTTGCTAACACATTTTTCTCATACAGACCCACCATTTCGAGAAGCAAATCATGTTCTCAAAAATACCAAAAAGCGTAAAAGGAAGAAGAAGAATTGGAACTGCCCTAAAATGTACCCTAAAAGCACTCTTCCCTTTGTTGATAAGATCTTTCTGAAGAAATGCAAATGGCAGAGACCACAATGTTAAGGAAATGATTTGGAGCCCTTAATTACTCCTATTTGTTAATAAGATAACTTTTAACCAAAGGCAAAAACAATGGCTATCTCTATGATGACACCTAACAAAATAATTTCAGAGACTGAATAGGTAAGAAAAAGTATTCAGAAAGTGAACAGATCTTACTTTTTGGCTCCAGAGCTTTTCAAGGTAAGTATTAAAACATCAAGGTTTTAATTCTTGCTCGATGACTGAATTGCTGGAAATTGAGTGATTTATATAAGCCTTCTGACTGTCTTTTTTCTTGCAATTGTTTCAAGAAAGATAATTAAGTTTGGAATTCTTCACTTTTTGAAGTGAATTATTGGGCTATGTAAGCCGCATCCACTGCATTGATGTCATATCTGACTTCGAGACTTTTCCTTTTAAATCAGTTGATTCAAATGTGGCTTTGATGACTTGATATCATTTCTCATGATGATAATAGTTTCAAATTCTTACAATTCTACTTGCTTGCAGATCGGCTCTTGGAACGAACACTCCAAACAATTATGATGAGATAGATGTGGAGAGTGGAAAATTGGAGGAGGTTAGAGTAAAAACAGTGCGTAGTAGTAAAAGAGTACTTAGAATACACAACCAGGCCTTTCTGGCTGGCCTTGCATATTGTTTTTCTTCCTGTAGCATGATATTGGTTAACAAGTACGTCCTCTCCAGTTATAACTTTAATGCTGGAATATCTTTGATGCTATACCAGGTTACCTTTCATATAAGATTCTCTGTTAATACTACAAGACAACTAGTCTTTGTTGTCTTGTATTGCTTTTACTCATAGTCAAATTTATTCTAGTAAATTTCTATGTCGTATAGTCTAACAGTGGTTGTCGATGGGTGCAGAATTTTGTCTCAGTGATTATTGTCGTCACTTTGAGTTTCCTTGGCATCATTACCACTGAACCACTTACATGGAGATTAATTAAAGTCTGGTTGCCTGTAAATGTTATATTTGTTGGGATGCTGATCACTAGTATGTTCAGGTACAATATGTTTATTATCTTGTTATCACAAACACCCTAAATTTCATCATCTTAATATGAAAAGCTGTGCTCTTATGATACTCAAGATACAGAATTATATTCTATATGCTTATGCTTGTCTCTGTTGTTAATTCATCCTTATTGTTTCTTCATATTGTGTACTGCAGTTTTGAGTTCCTTTACTATGTGAAAAGCTTATTCGATACATGGTCATTATTTCACCATAATGAAATGTGATATATGCAATAGGTTAATATTCTGGTTATTTTACTTGCTTAAGCTCTCTGAAGATTAGTATCTCACCGTAATTTTCTGGTATCTTATGTAACTGCCTGGATTCTCTTCAAGCTTTATATTATTATTTTTTAATTGCTTGTTTTCATTGATAATGGATGAGAATTTTATACTAGACAACATAAAGTTCATTTCCCTAGGTTGAAATTGATATTTGACTAATTTATGTTGGGTTTCCCTTTTATCTGCAGGATATTTCTATTTCTATTACTCCTCTTCCTTTTTCCACAATAATTCTGTTGTACATATTATATGGAAGAGTTTGTTTCTTATCCGTTTCAGAAGAAAATTGTTTAGCTTGACTACCATATTATTTGTTATTAATTTGTATATTCACTCCTATTGGCAACTGTTCTTCCAATTTGCTGTAAATATCAGAAATCCCGCTGAAGGTGTCCTAGTCTTACTATGTCGTTAATGCTGTGACTTAGAACTTGATCTGTCCAACCTTATATGCATCTCAGATTCAATGAAACAGGTGTACCAAACATGCAGCTATGTAATGTTTTTAGATTTCTTAAATTTCAATTCATACTTTTGCCACTTTGTACTGTTTTGATTGATTGTTTTGCTAGGTATTTCTTAATTTTGGGGAAAATATGTAATTATCTCTAGTTGCATGTCTAAACTGCAGGGTGCATTTAACACTTCATTTTTTAATTTGTCTTATGACTGAATGCCTCCATATTCATGTTCTCATATCGAGGATTGAAATTCCAGTAGAGTGTGGATATAATTGGAGGTTAAATGGAAATAGTTGAGTAGATGAATTAATAATAGAAACATCCAAAGATATGAATATGCTGCGTCAGATTCTTCTGTCAATAGGTTCTTGTGCATCTCCATTAGAAAAGGCTGTATTTAACTAATTCAATTGTATTGATGATGAATATGAATTCATTTTGTTTTATTCAATTGTTTGCCTTGTTCCGTAAAATAATAGACATACTGCAAATGTTGAGTCTTCGAAAATGTTTTCCTTACATAACATCTGTTTTCTTTGTTTGTAGTCTAAAGTACATTAATGTTGCCATGGTCACTGTTCTGAAGAATGTAACCAATGTGATGACTGCTGTTGGTGAAATGTATTTATTCAACAAGCATCATGACAACAGAGTTTGGGCAGCTCTTTTCTTAATGGTATGTCAAGTCGTGGCTCTTCTCTTAATTACACTGCAGTTAATCACGCTAAGACTGATTAAGAAGTTATATATAAATGTTGTCAAACTATTGACCTGTATGTGGACAAAACTTTTGCTTAACTGCTAATACATCTTGACTAGTTAACTCTAATTAGTCATGCTTTCAGTTAATAAAAGCTAAATTTATAGAAGTGTAGTGCTATTTGATCATCATTTATCCCTAGTTAATCATGCTGAATTATATAATTGAATTAGGATCAATACTTGATCAATCAGTGCTTGAGTACCAATTGTTCAGAATGTTAGTTTCAACCATATCTAATAAGTTGTTTCATCAAGAAGTCAAAAGTACGGTTCTGGCTAGCATATCATTTTTTATCTGTGCAGAATTGTAATGATTGTTCTTAATTACATTAGATTATAAGTTTCAGTAGGTTGATGCATATTTGAAGTCTTGCATTTACATTTGTAGATCATTTCAGCAATATCTGGAGGAATTACAGATCTCTCTTTTCATGCCATTGGATACACGTGGCAATTCATCAATTGTTTTTTGACAGCATCCTATTCTGTGAGTAATACTCATTCATACATCAAGTCCTGATTATATACTGAGCTGTATTAGCTTATACTCCTTCCGAAGCCACCACCTCTTGTATTTCCATTTTTTTAGTATTTCTTGTTGTGGCTGGAGATTTTGTGGTGACTTAATCTGTTATTTGATGCTACAATATAATATTGCTCCAATCTAGCTTGCATTCAAGTCAAGCCAACTCATGCTAGATTTGATGCAAGGAAGGGTTTAAAAACTTGTAAAAGTTGGAATTAAATTAGAGGAGAAGGGGCGCACTTGAAATAGAGAAAGCAGAAAGAAAAGAGAAATATTGGAATAATTCTATGCAGTCTTTGGAATTCTGGATTAATTGGCTATTTTAGGTAAATTGAGTACAAACTAGAAAAGAATGCTCTTTTGAGTCCACAATTGCCCTTTACCTCTACTGAGGCATAGTACCATCATGGTTTGTTTTATATATACTTCGAGACTGATGGTATTAACTTCAGTTAGGTAGAAGATTTACACTGTTTCATATATGGAGTGAAGAGTTAGCTGCTGGTTCAGTTTCTTACTACGTGCAAATGCATTTCTTACATTTGTACACATTTATTCCAATTCTTTTATAGTTTCTTGAGATATTATAGCTACTGGATATTCTATAAATTATCAACTATTTTCTTTAATTTATAGGCTATATTGTTGATATATATTTGTCTTCTTGTGGTGCAGCTGACTTTGCGTAGAGTCATGGATACTGCAAAGCAAGTCACCAAATCTGGGGACTTGAATGAATTCTCAATGGTCCTGCTAAATAATACCCTTTCGCTGCCCCTAGGAACATTACTCATTTTTGTATTCAATGAGGTTGATTATCTTTCAAGAACGTGAGTTTTGGTTTCCTTATAATTACAGTTGTATGCTGATGCTTTCTGTTGGTACTAGATAATTTAGTTTTATTTGATGAGCATAAGCATATCTATCCAATATTTAATTAGTTTACATATACAAATAGGGAAATAGTAAGTTTTGAAGGTGACCATGTTAAAAGTAAAAACTTTTGGTACTTGCCTTGTCATATGCTCAATCAGTTTTGGAATGAACTTGCTCTTTTCTTATTTCAAGTGACTTATTTTGAAAGTAATTACAACTTTATTATCAAAATAAGTAACTTAATTTCAACATTGACCAATAAATAATTTATTTGTTGGATCCCATGAATGAGAAAGTACTAAAACGTCACATTTTGAATCTGGAACTTTTAAACTTGTGTACTTATAGTAAAGTTTTTAAGTTTAGCCAGCTATGCTCCAAATCTTGTGTTTCTTTGTTTCCAATGGCAGACCACTTCTGAGGCTGCCCACCTTCTGGCTGGTCATCACGCTTAGTGGATTCTTGGGTTTGGCAATAAGCTTTACTTCCATGTGGTTTCTTCGTCAAACCGGGGCTACTACATACAGGTAAGATATCCTTATTTCCTGTTTCACTGCCTCCTAGAATTTTAATTAACTGAAGAAGATAGTGAATTTTCCCCTAGTTGAAGTCCCCCTTGAACTGATTGTAAGATTATGCATATCTTCTCTTTGTTTTCTTGTTAATCAATTTCATATGCTGCAGCCTTGTTGGTTCGCTAAATAAGATACCTCTTTCTGTTGCTGGTATCCTTATTTTTCACGTCCCAACAAGTTTGGAAAATTCTGCAAGCATATTCTTCGGTAAATTTCCTATGGCTTTGCAAGATTTATAGTTCTAGAGTACGACTCACAATCACTTGTTAACTTATTTCTTGTGTTCCACAGGCTTACTGGCTGGAGTGTTTTTTGCAAGAGCAAAAATGCGTGACAGAACTCGATCGTGAAGAGCTTAGAATTACACCTTCTGGAGATCAACTTTCTGATTTATACCCTGAACATTACTCTTTTGACAAAAAAGAGTTGGATAATCGTATTTGCAAAGCATGAGATCGTGGACCTTCTATTGCATACTGTTGGGAAATGGTAATTGTTTTCCCCTTAGCTGTTGCAGAAACTATTAAGAGTCTGAATTACGAAATGATTGAAAATCATAACCACATATAAATGTTGGTTAATTTTATTTTCCCTTGCGAACTTTTGTTTGCTAAGTTTTGCTGGTTATTTCACTTGAGCCACCTTTAGTTTATTTTACAGATTGTGAATGAAAAGCTGTGATCTGCATAACACTGGACAGTACCAAGAAAAAATAAGTGAATCTTTTATAATTCATTTCTGTTTAATATTGCATGTCAAACATGCCCTTCGTATATCGATACATTAGCTCTTACCTGATGTCAACGCCCAGTTAACTGTAAAGCTTGAGAGGGAAGATTAAAGACACGGGAGACTACTAGCAAATGCCTATGCTTTGTGATGCAATTACAATCACTTCCCTCCAACCAAACTTTGGCAACAAATTTTCCGAACTCACGATGACAAGAAGAAAAAATAAACATAAAGTTGCTCTTGAACTCGTGCTTAAACAATCTCAATTACACGATTTAATGAAAATAATGGTGATTTGCCTAACTTCTAAGGTCTCTTTAACACATTTCAGTATATCATAAACTTGATAGTAGCTCTTCATCCTCTGCCTTGGGTAACTTGCCATTTGCTTTGTGCTCCTGACTTGCAGTATCGTCCCGGCCACAAGTTTCATCCCAAGGTGATCTCAAATACAACTCCTTCCAGATTTTGAACAACTGCCCGAGTTCCAGTAACTTCATTTATCTGCAATCCATGTCGAATAGCTTCACTGATAACTAAGGTGTCCATGCTGCACAGAGAGAAGCAATATAAAAGCCAAATTGTAGTTAAACCTGGATCTTGCCATCATCCCACCACTGAAATCTCGAGTTTCTTTCCAATAAAAGAAATTTAGGAATTTTTTATATTAGTTGAGGATGATCAGTCCAAAATCCTTTTTAAGAACCAACTAGTATGGTGTAACATATTAATTCTCGTAACTAAATACATTATCTGTTCTAGATGACCATCCGCATGGTTAATATTAGGCCTAATCTTTTGCAAATTGTAATATTCATAACCTTTTCATTGTTATCAAAGCCAATAAATCCTAAAATTAGTACATGAAATTATTACAATGATATTCATCTATACAACAAACAAGTCACTTACACTTTTGCTCTGGATACATAGGCCAATATAAATTTGCATTTGTTCTCACTGCCAACACTGAGGAGCTTTTCCACGGTATCGAAGAGCAAAGGAACACTTGACTGCTGAAAGCTTGAAAAGCATTAAGGCTTCTTTCATTTTTTCTAGGTTTCAACATGATTGACTAAAAGAAAGAGCTAGCAGATTGAAATGAAAAATTCAAAACTAAGAAAAGAAATCAAATAGATATTACTTCAGCTTTGCATTAGGCAACTGCTCGTGACATGGCGAAAATTTGATTCTATGTCCAAGTAAAAAAGCATATGACCAAATGTAATCATGCATTGAAATTTTCGAATGGTTGTATGAGAAAAATAAAAGGAAAATTCCAAGTTAGATGGTGAGTAGAAAATAATAAACTAAATTATAGCTTCACAAAGTCTTAAAACACAATTGTAAAATATAACCAACACAGCCAAGCATTACTTCTTCATTGCAGAGACATCTTCATGGGTGGGTGATGCGTACTGTGCATGTTAACTATCAAAAACTCACCATTCACGAACATGCATATAAAACAAGTTGATGAATAGTAAAGATATGGATATAGATATCAGCTCCAAGAACTAGATCAAATTTTTTTGGATGCCCCTGCAAGATGCTGTTGAGCTGGTCAGAATTTCCCCACTCTAGCTTCTCAAATTTTAATTCTGCAAATACAAGAGGAAACAGATGATTTAACTTTCCAATTTTTTTCTGATCTTCTCTTTTTAAAATTATTCATTACCAGCACAACAAAGAGAATTCTGAGAAGATTCCTGCAGCTCTATGTTCTTCTTCAGTATCTGAAAATATACATATAAGATACAAGATGTCAACCTAAAGATAAGATGTCAAACTTACTGTATACCAAAAGCATTGATACTCAATTGCATAGCCTTGCCTTGAGAACCTCCTCATTATGATCTGTCAAAACTACTTCACGACAGAATCTGCTACAAAGCATCCCAGTAATGCCTGCATATGTAAGTCTGCAATCAATTTACTATATAGGAAATCAGTGATCAATTTTCCCTATAGGAACCTTAAGTGGGATTGACAAATAATTTCATGATTTGAATATAACTGCTGACTTTTATGTGGCCCTTTTCTGTTCTAGAAAACTTATTTTACTAAAATAGAGGCAACTAGGCCTAGTGGTTTACAATCTCCAGTTGTATGACATATCTAAATCTAGGGACAAAAGTATTTTATCATGACTACCACTTAGAAACATAGAATTGATGGGCCATCTAAGATTGAATTGCAACAATGAGCTCTCACAACTTAGCTCTTACAACCTATAGGATCTGCACTGTTAAGGGGCTATCTAATAGCAACTTAAAATAATGTGCTCGTGAAGATGAGATAACAATACTATCTTTGATGCAGGAAAAATGAACAGATGAAAAAGGATTCCATAATATAACCTTTAAGGTTAAAATTTTATCCTTATTCTGGGATGAAAATAGTTGCTGCATTGCCGTGTAATCTCATGCAAGCATATTCTGTTATATCCACGCACAGAAATAGGCCTCCAGGCGACTGAGCATGTGGTTAACATACCCCACCATATGCCCATATCAGGATATGGGAACAACTCATGTTACCAATGTAAGTAACAAGAGCCTGGGTCACAAGAATGCAACATCAGTTGCTGTCAAGTGAAATATGCTGTATGCTAGAGAGAATCAACATTTTGCATTCCACTACCCATCCAAATCTTCTATAGTTCACACTGAATGCATTGAGCAGTTAATGGACAACAAGCAGATTCACCTTATATCGTAAGATTCCATCAAAAGAGTTTTCCGATTTTAAAATTTTTAGCTTCATAAATGCCTGACCAAACTACGGTTCATAGAACGAAAAATTCTTTGAAACATCTTATTGAGCTAAATTGCTATTCAATACTAGATTATGTGGTGCATGTTAAGTTCACATTCTTGCCACTCTTGCTATAATAGTTCTTTTCTGAAAACACAACTACTACAAGTATTTCTGTTTCTTTGTATATATACAGCTCCAGACTCAAGATGGAAAAGACATGATATTCTCTTAGGCACTTCTACCATTTCAACTTTGGATGTATATACAATATAAACCTATGGAAATCATTATTTTTCTATATGGTTTCTGAAATTATTTCTTTTTCTCAGAAAATTGCACTTCAAATTGTTGAAGTCAAGAATTAATATTGGGTATCAGCACATTGTTGATACCTATACACAAAGTTTACAGAATCGTATATATTAAAGTATTAAGAAGACTCTATAAGGAGGTAGATAGCTAAAACTAACCAACACCAGAGCCTAGCTCAATAACAGAACGTCCTTGAAGCGTTTCAACATTTTTTGAGAGATAGTCATTTAAAAGCACTGCCCCAGGCCATACTAACTGCCCTGTCAAATCAAAATCAGCTGACATACAAATATAGTCAGTCAGAACACATCTGCAATTTGCATCACATTATAGCAGTTTAAGAACGGATTGTAACGTTTGACATCATTTCCCTTTTTCCTTTTAATATTTAAAATGTCATACAACCATCAATAATGTAAATTGGATTGATAAATCAATTAACCTGGAAATTCTTTAACCATTAAAAATCTTCTGACTGGAGTTTAATACAACTTCAAACACTCACTTATCAATAAATTGCACAAAATACATAAGAATAACCAGAAAAATAAAATGGATTTTGTATCTTCCAATCATTTCAATCAAAATTCTGTAGAAAAAGGGGAAAAAAAAAACTCACTTGAAGATGACTGTAAGCAGTAGAGCTCAAGAACATGAGACCCAAATGTAAATGTAGTAAGTTGGTAGCTGCATAAAACAATATTTTCAATAATCCAAACAAGAAAACGCGTGCGAAAGTGAAAAGGTAGTATAGTATACTTGTCATCGATGAAGAATGATCCATCTAAACAGACAATTTCATCGTCTTCTCCTTCCCCTTCCATCAAAATTTGCTATTTGTTTACACGCAGAAAAGAGAGAGGAGGGGTTTTAAATGGGTTTTATCGGCCTGTTGGGTCGTATTATTTGGGCCCTTAAATGGAGGACTGGAGGCCCATTTAGTTCTCTTTCTTTTCTTGGCTAATTTATATTAAGTGGAAATTACATACAACCCTACTTTTCAAGATCCAAATTCAAAAATAAGATATCAAGTTTTAATATTCAAAAATCAGATGTTTTATAGATAGATACATGTTTTTAATATTTAATTAAATATTAATAATATTATTATAAAAATTAAATTATATACACCCCACC